AAAAAAAGGCAATAAATTCCTTATTACGTTAATTTAACGGCATTTCATGTTCATTTGAAATTCAAATAATCATTTTTGTCTCACTTACGTATACGCACACGAATGCATTGTCTTTAATTTATGGCAATTACGGAAATTAAAAATTTTTTTCTTTCAAAGTTTCTTTTCTCTTTTCTTTTTTTTTTTTTTGTGTTTTTTTGCTTTCCTCTTAAACATTAATCATCGCCATGTGAAAATTTGGACATTTCGTAACATTTCTTCGTTAAAATGAAAGTGAATTTCTAAATACTCATAATTAATGTTTTAAACATTTTACTTTAGTCATTCACATAAGATTTACGATAGTTCTGTACAGTCTTAATAATAAGAATACGTAAGAAACCTTTACTGAAAAATAAAATAAAAAGAAGAACAAGAAAAAAAAAATAAAATATTAATTAAACCTGTCGGAAAATTACATGTTTTGTGCAAAATATGAGAAACATTTTTAGCGAAAAAAATTTCTTAATATTTCCCACAAAAATTTTATTATTATTATTTTTTATTATTATTATTATTAATTTTATTGAAATTAAAATGAAAAAATTCCATAATGAAAATATTTCAAGGTCTTTCTGCTCGCTGCTGTTACGGTGCATTTCAATAAATTTACATTTGTCAAATTACATTTATAACAAATCGATTTACCAGCAATAGCCGTACAATAATCGACCATGCAACCTTCACATAGCACAACAAACATTTAAACATCTAACGGCAAAAGAATTAATCCGGCTTAGTTGATATCTTAAAAAACTACATCACGACTATTACACGCTCATCAAAAAGCTTTGCTTGAAGATTTTCTCCTTTCTATTATTATCTCACTTAGCCAGCTAGCAACTAAGACTATGCTTTTTGCCTACTCGACCGCCCAGGCGGATTTGTCTTTGCTCATCCTGAATCAATGTTTGTGATCTCACAAATCTTTCATTACTAGAAGATAAACTAACAAATCGATCCAAACTATTTCTATATGATACATTTCCCTTCCCCCTCCAACCACTCCCCCTTCTCATTTTTAGTGTTCTTGTAAAGTTCTCATTTCATCTATCTATTCTTGAAGTAACAAATTTCTATAGAATTCCCAAAGTAAATAAAAAAAAAAAAACTTTTAAATCAAAAAAGATCGAGTAATATAATTATTTTAAGTTGCGATAACACCGCACTCCCATGTATTAGACAATTTCTAGACGATAAGGATTTTTGAATATCCGGAGCGGATAACAAGCGGCAGGACAAAGATGATATACTTTTTAATAGTAAGACCAGAGAATAATATTAAAAAACAATTTTTTTTCATTTTTTTTTTTTTTTTTGTTTTTGCATCAAGAATATACGAAAATCATTAGAAATCATCATCGTGTCCATAAATTGTCGATATGCAAAAACATTGCAGCACATGTGTTAGATTTTAAATGAATTTACCGCAAGAGAATTAATTTTCTTGTAGAAAATTTCATTCAAATCATTTTCCTCTTACTGTTTGCCTGTCTAACTTTTCCACTGCTGCTTCCGTTCCTCGTCGCATATAAAATAATTAACGACATTTACTATAATGATTATATTGTGATAATTAATTTTTGAGGTTACAAATTGCGTACATTTTCAAGGAATATTTTACAAAATCTTATTTAAGTGAAAAACACTAATGAAAATTTGTCACACAATTGTTTCTTAACGTATTTTATAACGGATTCACTTATGCATAGGAAATTTCCGTGGATCCATGATGACAGTCTAACACCAATCATTATAAGATAAAATTTTTTTCTTAGATTCTAGACTATTGTTCCAAATTTTTTTCAATGATTTTAAAATCACATCTTGTCAATTTTCTCATCTTTAGAAGGCACAATTTCCACAATGAATTTCAGAAAATCGCAGAACAATCTAAATTCAGCATTTGTATCAAGTACGATGTAAAGCCTCATTGAAGTTCGTCTGATGAAGACATGGCTGTCTGAGCTTCTCATTATTAATGCTTCGCAAACATGTTATCCATTAGAAGCGCCCCTCGTACAAGGCGATTAATTCGTACTGACATGTATCGAAGCTATGGTATACGAAACTTTTCTTTTCATTTGTTTAAACTAAAATATAATATAAACCAAGCCAATGTGCACCATGTCGTATCAAGGCCTGTTTTATGTTGTTTCGAAACCCTGTTATACGACAGTTTGAAATCATATAATTCAAGGCAATATGGATCATATTATTTCGAAACCATGTCTTAAGGTGTAAAATTTTATGATAGCTAAAATTCTCAGCAAAATACCTACGAAAATTCTGTCCTGAGTGCAAGAAAGACAGGCGGACAGAGGAGCTGACAGGAGCTTGAATCGATTCGGAAAATGATACTGAATCAATCCATATAATAAAAGTTAGACCTATTTTAATTCCTTCTGAATGCGCCAACGTAATATACACTTGTACTACAAGCGGTGTAGGGTGTAATTGCAGCTAATCTATTTTTTTTATTGCTGTCGAGGTTAGTAGAAACTGCTCTTATTAACGACAAAATAAAAATAAAAGCAAAAAACAATGGAAAAAAGACTAGCTTTTGTTCTGTTGTACCGTTGTTCACGTACCGTGTTGTAGCAAAATCGCAAGTACCAAGAGTTATATTAGAAAACTTTTTGAAAACGGACATCCAATGTACATAACCAAAATGAAAAAAAAAAAATTTTGTGGGACAATACTGTAACACCAAAGAAACCGTGATATACTAAAAAATTTTTCGATATTTTTTAAATTACGAGGAACATTTACATTTATTAGGGAACTTGAAGAATATATATATATATCAAAAACTATATTTCAAAGAACAATTCACTTAATATATTAGGGTCTTCCGTTAATTTTGGACATTTTTTCATTTGAAAAAAGCCTCTATTGAGAAAAATTGCTGCAACCTTTTCCCATCCTTTTGATAACATGACAATACCGTGCCACAAGACCGATATTAGTTTGACAAAGGTCCAACCATGAACCCATTTTAACACTTCTTCAGCATTTTGAAACCACGTGCCACCTAAGCCATGCTGCATCGATCTAATCGAGTGGGAATCAGAAGGTGTGAGTACGCTGGGTGCGGCGGAACTTACCATTCGAGTTGCAGCAGTGTGTTCAGTGTGTTCCATTGATGTCGATAGACATCATTTCATTCGGTTTTAACAGTTCGTAATACACTACACCCTGCTGATCTCGCCATATTCACAGCAAAACTTTAGGGCCATGAATATTCCACTTCGGTGTCGATGTGGACAGTTCTCCTGGATTAACCCATAAGTATTCGCGCTTGGGATTGTCCTAGTGATTCCACTTTTCAATGCCAATCACAACACCGTGAATTCTTCCTCTTTTGCTTGCCAAACAATGAAATTACCGTCTTGAAACGCTTCGAAATCGCATTTTCAGTCAACTTGCAAGGTAACCGTTTTCCATCCTTTTGGACCTTTCCCGTCGCATGTACACGTCTAGGAATAGTTAATCAACTGTTAAGCTGTTCGAAAGTTCTTTAAGAGTTTGTTATGTTTATAAATTTCGTGACAGCAATCCTCAACTCATCCTCACTCAACTGTTCCAATCGTGGCGCCTCCACACAAACATTAACATCATTATCTTCGTAGGTCGCCTGTAGTGCTAAACAATTCAATTGATCTCTTCCCACTTTTTAGTGGAGGCAAATGGACCGCTGCCGTAACGTTAGCAATTCTTCCAAGCTCTTTTAGGCTGCATCAGCTCTTTCGCTCTTACTGTAGAATAAGCCAGCGACCTAGAGAAACGTTCAAAACCTATAGTTAGATTTTCCAAATACTAAATGTTGTAATAATAATCTCGATGCACACCATTAGTAAGCTCCTGAAGTCAAAAAGTCTCAAGGTTTGGTTAAACGCAACACCGACGGTATATATGACCACTAAAAGAATTTTTCCCAGGGCGTAATGGAAAGCCGTTTTGGAAACGCGGAATTCTTGCATAAATCTACCATACAACAACATAAGACATATTTATAAGTCGTGTAAATATTAGAAATAATTTAGTGGTTTTGAGGTAGCGGTAGGGAGTTAGAAGCAACTCTCGAAGTTTTTGTCGCACTTCTCATCATGATCTCTTCTTTTTTGTGTGGTTGTCATTGTTCTTCTCTTCAATTAACGAGCATAAAAGGAAATTACGATAGGTTATGCTGAAAATTTATGCATTAGTCAATTGCTTAAATCAGCTCGATATTTAAAAAAAAAAATTATACTTACTTTTACCAAATTTTTTTTCCTTTTCCTCACAATTCACAAATGTAATTTCAGACATACTTTATTTTTTTTTTTTAATTTTTTTAAATTTTTTGAATTAATAATTTATTTCCTAACAGCTGTTTATATATTTCATTTGCATCTGCTTTTACAAAGGCAACCCTAAAAGGAAAATTTGTGGTAACATTACTTGATTTGTACTGAATACTAATGCGAATTTGTGCTCAGCGACAACAATTTTATTGTCGCCAAATTTGACGAAACTAAAAGAATGCATTTAGCACTAATCGTCAACAAATTTGCCAACATGATTAGATTCTCTTGACGATTATCACCTGCCTACATGATTACCCCCGTCTGAACCGAAGAAAAATATCGACATTGTCTAAAGGTCAATATTATCTAATCAATACCTCGGAGTTTTGTAAAATACATAGGGAAATAAGATACATTTCTAACAGTCTTATATGAGTTAGAAATTATCGAACTATGTTTTGTAATATTTTAGTACCACAACCTCTTATTCAGTTTATAAATAAAATTGTACTATTGTAACATTATTTTCTATTCCTTTTTCTTAATTGTTATTAAAAAAAAGTTCAAATCTACCACTGGTTAGTTCATCTACAGAGATTCATGTTATTTATTATTCATTTTTAACAACCCTGTACTTCGTGAAAACGTATGTTTCATGAAGTGACATTCTCAATATTTTCATTTGTATGTCGCCATTTTTTGTAATAAGTGAAGTTAAGGCAGCAAAATTTTCACAATTTGTGTTGTATTACTAGTTACAATTGCATAAATTATCTTTTTTCACTTTACGAATAAGAAACTTAAGGATGGATAAAAAATCCAAAGAGGCCTTACGGCGATATAAAAAAGCTCGTCAGGCTCATTCAAGTAGTGAGAGTAGCAGCAGCTCGGACTCGGATTCAGGCTCTTCGAGCTCATATTCAAGTTCTGCCAGTGAACGCCGCGCTGGACGACATCGCCACAAAAAAGCTCGCCAAGCGACCGGACCAACTTCAGCGCGCCGTTCAAGCAGTTCGAGTGACATTGAAAGACGTAAAAGAGAAAAACGAGAACATTGTCAAAAAAAATTGGAAGCCAAACGTAATCATTTAAAACGAAAATTAAAAGAAGCAAAATTGAAGAAAAAAGCGGCTGCTGCTGCAGCAGCTTTAAGTGGTCATTCACACCGTGCATTATCGCCCTCAACGCAGGCTAAGTTGAAAAAATTAGCTGAACGTAAACATTTAAGAGCCGCCAGTAAAGAACGACGTGAACGTGAACGTGAAAAGCATCGTGCAGCTGTTCGGGAAAGAGAACATCATCGTGGCACCAGCAGGTCACCCACTAAAATCACCAAAATACGCATTCATCAAGATGTGAAGAGACAAAAGAGTCCGCCGCGTGTTCATCATCAATTAATGTCACGTGAAAAAATCATCATACAGACCAGAACTAGAGATCGTACACCATCCGTGGAACGGGAGCGTTTGCGACATGAACATAAATTGCGTCATGAAGAAATGCTACGTGAACGTGAACGTCGCGACAGGGAAGCGGCTCGTGATAAGGAACGTGCTGAAGCTCTCGCCAGATGCCAAGAACGTCAACGAGAACGTGAGCGTCTAGCCCGTGAAAAGCTCAGGCGTGAAGAGGAAGAAAAATACGGCAAAGCTAGCAGTAGCGACAGAGATCGTTTATTGCCACGTGCCTCGGAACGGGAGTTAGCAATTGCAAATGCTCGCGGTTATAGTTCGCGCGAACGTTCATTAGAAAGAACAAAACGTGAAATGGATCCCTATGATCACGCTTATATGAGAAAACATAGAGAAGGGGATTTTATTGGACAGAGTGGTAAGAATATCGATGAAAGATGCAAAAGTGAAATTAAATTTTCAATACTGTCTTATAGAACATGAACGACGTACGCATTTGGAGCGTGAAGAACTTACGAGAGAACGTGACTACCTGACAGCCCGCCGGCGTGAAATGCACGCTGATGAATATGCTGGTCCAGGTCGGATACGTGATATATACACTGACGATGACCGTGATCGGAGCTACAAACGGCCCTATTTAGAAGATGTTCGCGGCCATACGTTAGATCGTGAAGCGTGGTTAACAGAGCGTGATATTCGCGAGCGTGAAATGCATGATCCTCGCGAGTATCGAGATATGGAGCCCAATCATGTTTATGCAGATGAACGGGAGCGCATACCGAGAGAGCATGAACGAGCCTTTGCTGGCCGTGGTCCAGAGTGGAAACATGACTGGGGCAGTCCCCGAGAACGAACAGAATGGACTGACGAGGGTCCTCCACCACCTGGAAGAGGAATGGGGTTTGTTGGTGGTCCCAAAAGAGGCGGTAGCGCGGCAATGGCTGCCAAAATTGTGCCCAACAGAGACCAACGTGCAACATCCGAACCCGATTGGGATATTGAAGAAGGACAAATTGAAACAGGAAAGAAACCAGAAAGTGGAAATATACGTGAAGCCGCTCTGCCTCGTGATTGGGTAGAACATGATACACGTGATATGCCGCCTATACGGGAAAAACCAAGTCCAGTAGGTCGACCATGGGCTCCAGAATGGCATGAGGATGAAGAAGTTAACTATCATCGCGTTCCGCCCCCTATGCTACATCATCATCCACGGGGCGAACGAGGTGGTCGCGGTGGCTTCCGCCGAGGTCCTACGATTATTGAGCACGGAGAACGAATGCCCGGTATACATCCCCATGGTTTTAGATCTCATGGACATCCTGCGGGTGGTCTCTTAAGTTTACCTCTGCAAGGTGGACCTTTTCATGGTGGTCCAATGCCACGTTTCCCTAATAAACGAAGCATGACATATACTAACCCAAGTATTCTGAAGAAACAACAAGCTGCTCTTGTGGCTGCAAAAGCAGCAGCACAAGCTAGTGCAGTAGCAGCCGCAACCACTGCAGTAGCAGCGGCAAAAGCCGCTGCCCAAAGTGCAGCAAACGCTACAACAAATCCTGGCATATTAAGTCAAGTCAGCACTTTACGCCCTCAATCACAACAGGATGAAAAACCCGAAGCCGGAGAAATTGTAGGTGAAAATGAACAAAAAGAAGAAGTGATTACTATAGCTGAAGCATCTATCGGGGAGGGCAAACCAACTGGAGAGCTTAGTGAAATCAGTGATAGCGACGATGATATCCTTAACAAAAGCGAAAAAAAACCTAAATTGGAAAATGAAGATACGAGTTCTCAAGAACGTATCATTAACGAGCAAGACACCAAGTCGTCTGATGATAAAGGAGATGATGAAATTTTAGATTTTGAGGAGATTTCAGATGGTGAACTTGAAGAAGAGTCGCGAATCAAAGGTTAGTACAATAAAAATTTTTTAAAAGTTTTAATAGCATCGTATTCGCCTCGTATTAACAGGAGTTGGTGATGCGTTGGGTGTCGATTGGGCTTCTCTCGTGGCGGTAACCAAGCGTATCCCAAAGGATTCTCCCACCACGGCTAAACAGAGATGGCAGCCTCACCGTATATTATTGGATATAGGAGTTTCTATGCGCATGGCAGGAGAGGATTATGCTAAACGCTTATTAAAAGAAGCCAAGCAAAAACTCGATGAAGAGTTAGAGCAGCAAAATTTAAAACATGAAATTAAGGAAGAACCACAACTTGAAGAAAACTCCCAAGCATCGTTGGAGAATGAAGAAATCAATAAAGAAATTAAACCATTCGACAATGAGGAGCTTAATAAAGATTCGAAGCAATCGTTACAAGACGGAAAAATGGAACTCAAACCTATAGTTGACATAAAAGATGCACAACTAAATTTGGATAATTTACCACCTTTGGCTTGCGCACAAGTAGCTGAACGTAAACGTCAGCTAGAACGAAGTAATTTAATAGCTAACGCATGTGGACCAAACAGTAGAGCTTTAAGTGCTCGACAAGATTTAAAATTACGCAGACAATTGTGCGGTTTACCGGCAAGAGAATGCGACTTTTCACGTAATATACCGCCGACAAGCGAGAAGATCAAAGCGTTGGCATTGGCAGCTTTTCAAAGAGCGTTGGAGGTTAAGTGAAGCAATTTTGAAATGAAATGTTTAATAAGCGCGTTAGTTAGTTTTACCCAACTTGCAAAGGCTTACACTTATATTGTCCTCCCTCACTTTTAATATATAAAAAAAACCGTTAGAAATCTTATAATATCTCTCCGCCTATCCGTTCGTTTATTGATAGAATCTTCAACAATTGAGCAAAAATTCTTATTACAAGTACGCATCTTACCATGTTCACGAATGGTGACGATTTATCTGCAACAGTTAGAAAATCCCGAAACCTGGTTATGATTTAATAGCTGTTTACGATCTGAAATTTACTAAAAACATTAATGAAGGAAGTATAGTAGTTTTACTTTTAAGCAAAACCAAATAATCTCCGTATTTTTTTTATATTCTTATTCCAAGTAATTTGTAGACGAAATTTAATTATTATTAAAAACAATTATGCAATTATTGTGAAATGGAAACGTTCGAATTACGTAATAAATATATATATAAATATATACAAATATATATAAATATATAAATCAAAAAAAGGTATTTTGAAATCTTACATCAGCAATCAGCAGCAGGCTATACCATGAGGTGCTTTCTAAAAGACCTAGTTCTTCTTAAATAGCCTCAAAATAGCTAAATGTCTCTTGGTTTTATTATTACTTTTATTATTTTTATTATTACTTTGAAATTAGGCGCTAAATCACTATGAACTGTTCCATATGAATTTTCTTGTTTTACAATTATTCATATATCTAAAATTATTTTTAAAAGGTAGTAAAGAAAATATACATAGAGATGATTTCTAAAGAGAATTTACATACAAGAAGAAAAAAAAAAAAAAAAACAAATACTTCTGTTAACTACTGACGAAAGAAATGCAGTGAAATGAGATGAAATCTTCGAAATATGTTAAGCAATTGTTAATATTTTGGCTTAAAATTCTCGACTTTATTTTTATTTGTTATTACTACGTATAACTATTTCGTTATCTATCAATCTTCCGAACAACGCTGCTGGGCTGCTGGTTGCAGAGAGGAAGGTTTTTTCTGTTTTTTTTTTTTTCTTTTGTTTTTTTTTTTCTATATTTGGACTCATAACTATAACGGTTTATGTTCGAGTAATTTTTTTTGTATTTTTTTATTTTTTTTTTTTTTCAAAAGGAAGTAACGACTAAGTAAAGCTAAATGAAATCTTTACACACATTTTCAGCGCTGTATGGTGTTAAGGAAATGATTTTTTTCTTCGTCATATTAGAAATAGTTGGGGATAGTGTTTTATACTTTTGCTTTGTGTTTTACGTAAAAATGGCATACAAGAGTTATTATATATATTAAATGTATATATATATATATAAAAAAAAAAGAAAAAAAAAAAAAAAACTCGGATTACATCGTTGTCATAAAATAACGAGAGCTGTAAAAAACCTAAAAAAACTAGAAGTTAATTTTTGCTTTTGCTGACATTTTAGTACAGGATTTCTTTGTTTCCTACTTTAACTTTGTCCCTTCAGCTTTTTAAGAATATTCAAGAAAATCCTAGTCAAGTAGTCAATTTAAAGAAGGTATTCGCATATTATGCCAATTAATTTCTATATTGGGCCATTTGGTTTGTAAGCAGGTCATCATGGGATTCGATGCACATATCGATTTCAAATCGCTTTCCAACAATATAGCAGAACCTTTAGAATATCGCACCTAAAATTGGTTGGTCATAAATCAGCACTTAAATGGCAATTTGCGGAAAAGCGATTAAATACCTTATTGCCCTCATTTGATCCGGGTATACCATTGTAATGCATTAAGTCAAATGTATCGGGTGTGGACCGTTTCTCCAAAGGAAAAAATTCATCCATAAATGCATTCATTAATATAATTCCTAAGCCTTCGGGATCTAAACGTCTTTGCATAATTTCCACACTAAAACAAATAATGAAAACAAAACAAAAAAAACATTTCTTAATAATTCTCTTCAGAAGAAGGAAAGCCAAAGAAACATACTACTCTGCTTCACTAACTAAATCTAAGGTGGCCAATACATCTTGCAACACAGCTGTGGGTATAAAATTATTACCGTCCGGGTCGTAAGATTTGAAAACCCGCCTAGCTATTTCGGATGGCGTTTCCGGTGAAACTAGTCTCTTTTCATTGCTAAACAATACTAAAGGAAATAAATAATAACAATTTGAAAGCATTTCTAAACATAAACTTGCCTTTAATACGTACCAGTTAAATGCGTTTCAGAGCCCATAACCCATACCGGATTGCGTGGATTTTTATAGAAAGATCCAACTGTACAGTAACGCATTTGTTCCATTAACGTTATGAAACCTATATCACTTTGCTCGCTAATACCTCTCAACTTAAGACCGCCTACATCTTGGTCGTTATCCCAGACATGAGCTACGGCACGTCCAGTTAGCATAAGATTAATAAGCGCCTGTGACCCATAACCATATGTATTATGTATGAGCGGCTCCGAAGTATCCGATAGTTCCGAATTGACGTTATCAATACCCTAAAAATTAAATAGACCAGTTAAGTATATTACAAGAAATGCATAAATGATTTTTTTGATTTTTGTTTTTGAATACTTTTGTCAATAACACAGTATACATGAATAATAAAACTCCATATTTGGCAGAAAGCACTTCGAAATTACGGGTATAATACTTTTCGACTTCGTCGATACTATGAAAGTGCAATACTTGTAAACGTTTATGATAGTCCTCGGGTGAGACTTCTTCCGATACATTTATATCACAAGGCACTGAACTAGCAGCTGCTGTTGTATTGAGATTTGCCTCATCATCTCGGAAGTTATTAGCCATCGCCGCAGCATTGCTTGCCTCTTTGGCCTCTAAGCATTGTTCAACTGGAAGTGTTACTAAACGTAGACGCGTTGCTTTACATTTACTTAAAATAGTACATAATGCTTGAATAAGAAGGCTTCTACATTTGTCCGGAGTTAACTGGAAAGGCAAAAATTATATACGCGAACTATGAAATAATGATTATTTGTTAGTACATCTTTGAGTAAATGACCAGGAGTATCCATAATTAAAATCTTGAGTATATAGGCCTGCACTGGGGCGATAACGGCACAGGGACCACCTTGTTTTTGCACTAAAGCAGACGGTTCAACATCACTAAATTCGAAACCTAAAACGATTTAAAATTAAAAACATTACTATTCAGCCTCATATATCGATTTAAAAGAATATTGCTTTTATATTATTTTAACATAAATAAGAAAGAGACGAGTATAAAATATCTCATATTAATTTTTTTATTATTTTTAGAACGAATTCATCATCTTTACGAAAAAAAATAAATAAAAATAAAATAAATATTCTAAAATGTTATACCTTCTTACTCGATTGCCGCTTTGGTTAACAGAATCCACTAAAATCTAATTTGACTAAACTACACATTAACCATGAGCATGACTCATACTTCAACGATTTAAATGCAACATATGTACACATATATATGTATATATATATATATATGTTTAAAAAAAATTTAAAAAAATGCTTTCACACACAAAAGAAAGCCTACATTAGCTATTAAGCAGGAATAGGAAATTCATTCATCTGGAGAAAGTAATAGAGCAGGTGTCATGTAATTTTTATCCAAGAATAGCAAAATGTAGCTTGCTATTGCACATCTACAAACACTCGTGCAAAAAAAAAAAAAAAAAAAAAATCACAAACATACATGTGCGGCAAACGATTGCCACCACCCACCTTGAGACCAACGACGAAAGACATCCAGTCGGATTGTGGGTCCCCATAGTAAACTACGTATTTCCTGCAATTCGCGCGCATCCTTGGCTGTTGTGACCAAAGAGGGCGAGGGCGCAATATGATTCAGAGCTGTACTCCCACTAGTGCTTGCAGTTTCTGCTACCGCGGCTTTCTTACCAGCACTAGATGCAGCGATCCGTTTGGTGTGTTCGCCCATTTCTTAAAATTTTATCTTCAAGTTTTCTATCTCTCGCGCGCTCTCTCTCTCTCTCTATTTCGCTCCTGTGTGCAATTTTTGTTAATAATTTAGCTTTGTCCTGTGCTTTTTGAATATTTTTTATTAAATTTTATACAAATGCTTTTATTATATATGTAAATTCGCAAATTGTTTGCACGCACACACAAACATACACACACGCAATCCCTAACAATCATTTAATTCTTGTGTCACACTTTTTCGTTCGTACTTCTCTTTAAATGCATTTGCAAACACATCAATTTTTCCACTTGAATCAGTTTCAGTTCTTTTCAATTTTATATAAGCGTTATTTGCCAAATATTATGGCAGTTTAAGTTTATTTTTCTACGGGTTTTACAATATTATGTTAAAATTTATTTAAGATATTTTTGGTATATAATTTTCCTTTTTATAATTGACAAAATTCAATAATGTTGTCATATGAACGGTTCAATATAAAGCGCCAGTAACTTTTGCTTTAAAAGGGTCTTAAGTAGCTTTTCGCGGACGGCAAGATTCGTTCGTTTATTTTTTGTTGTTTTTCCTTTTTCTTTTTGAATAAATATTAGTTTTGTTTATAATATAAAGAGCATTTTTACAAACTTTAACGAAGAAATACCTGAACGTATTATATGAAATTTTCGAGCTTTTAACTTAAAAAATTTCTATTCATTTAATCTATTTATTAATTTTAGCGTATTTGCATGGTATGATAGTTGACATCACAATATCCGCGACAATTAAAATTTCAATAAGAAATCACAGAAACTCTCCAAAATGCTTCTTCTTTTTAGTTAATGTATAGCAAATATATAACCAATATACATTAATTCTAAATGTATTCACGCTGACTGTACCGCGATTCATCATAAAATCAGGTTACAATAGACAGACAACTATTATTTCAACTAGAATTTCAATTTATTAATTAAACATTCAGGTATACAAATTAAAGAAAAACAAAACATTTTTCATTAGAACAAAAGTAATAATCATAAATTTACAAATGAAAAAAACAAATTTTGCAAACCTATAGAGTGTTCCAAAATTTACGCACCATTGAAATTTGCCGCCATTTGTGCGGTAAAGTTTGGGCAGCCGCCCCAAAAAAAACAAAACAATTCGACAAATGACAGCTTAGAAACAACACGTTCTCATTGTTGAAGAATATTTCCAAAAATACTGAAAGTTTGACGGCCACAAAATATCAATTTGTGGTGCTAAAGACGCCGGCCGTTCAAATGTTAATATCGAAGTATTTTTGGTGAAAGTCTAGGAACAATTCGGCGTCGTGAGTAATAATTGCAAATTTCAAGAGACTCTCTATAGCGTCTTCTTAAAAAGAAATGAGCATCATCTCGATGCACAGCGAAGAGAGATCCTTGAAGTAAATGCTAATTTTTCGAATAAAATCGTCCTAAGCGACGAAGCTCATTTTCATCTATACGACTTCATTAATGGTGAAAATTGTCGCATTTGGGAGAGAGGGAGAGAGAGTCCATATGTGATTGCCGAGAAATAAATGCATCTACAATGTGTCACGTTTTAGTGCAGATGTTCAAGTGGAGGCATCATTGGACCATATTTTTTCGAAAATGAGACTGGTAAAGCAAGTTACACAGGTAACCCAGTTATTTCTGCTTAAACTGGATGATATTGATGTGAAGGACGATGTGGTTTCAAGAAGACAGTGCGACATGCCATACATCCCGTAAACCCATTTAATTACTACATGAGATATGCCCTTCCCTCTCATTTCACGTGATTGAACGCCACTGCATTCCCTTTTATGGGGGTTATTTGAAGTCAAATGTCGGGAAGATCCTTGTTTGTCCTACGTAGCATTCCACAAATAATACACAAAATTAGACTGTTTTCTAATTAATTTGAATCTTGCGAAAATTGTCGAACACTCTTTATAACGATTGGAATAATAGAACTAGAAAAATCTCTCTCTATCTTAAAGATTAACGTTTGATTTGGAATTCTCTTACTCGAATGAATTGATTCTAGTGGCATAGCGTAGCTTACTTACTTTTGGTGTAACATTTGCTTTTACTGATTGCAAAGTACGTTCTCGATATTCGCAAATGACAAAAGCATCCATTTTTAACTCTTAGCTTAATGTCAACTTTGAGATGTGGTGTGTTATGCACTCGAAAGCGCGCTTTGAGTTGATGGTGAGTTGTGATTGCAATGATTCAATGAAAAAAGAAGATAGATTAGATTTCTCTTATTGTCTCTTTTTACGATTCAGAAATTTCCATCAGAGACTTCATAAAGCATATACATCTAAGGAGAAACAGTTTTTCGGCCGTTTGCCCGTATGTTTGTCATTCGTTATTGGAAAAGTCACGGCCACAAAAACTAAGATTGAGACACATGGCATATAAACTGTTAATTCATAGCCATAGGTCCGGTTTGCAAATGAATGGAATCCAACGGTAATTATATTAACTCTCGGATAAGATTTTGCCTTTCAAACAATAATGGAACAATTAAAATAAAAAGTTTACCTTTAGCATACACATATATATAAATAACCTTGAAGATGATTACATACATCGTACATATAAGAATATCACGCCCATAATAGGCAGAAATAATAATTGACAATCGAAAGCTTGTATCGATTTAGAATGTGATATAGTTTTTAACAGGTATCCTACAAACCTCGTATAAACCTTATATAAAACAAGGCTAAGGTCTCCTGCGGACGCACCTACAATAACCAAAAAATAAAACCTAAAGTCTAACACAAATTCTTTATTTCGTCTTTAATCAAATACTTTATAATACGAAGGCATTGCTCGGAGGTGATGAATGTCAAAAGTAAGGCTCTTACTTACTTCGTAAATAGCAAAAAAAATGCATTCAGGATGTTTTGGAAAATATTGAGACCTAAAAGTAGGAAGAGTGTTGGGGCTAAATGAGTATAATTTAAATGAATCTGTCTAAGTGAATGAAGCCTTCAAAAAGAAAAAAAGGTTTTGAAGTAACTAAGTAGCACTTCTCGACTGCGGATATTTTAATAGAAAACAGAAATTTTTTGTAGATAAATACTCTACACCATCTTAGAGTTATACATACGTCGCGACATTTTAAAAGAAGGCTTTATATGGAAAATAGTCGAAAAAGTGATTTGATGCGGACCATTTTCAATAGCGCTCGTCCTTAAGACAAAAGGCGTCAGTGTAACATAATTTCATCAAAATATGTCAAAAATTGCGACCTATAGATTGAGTTGCAAGACATCAGACGGACAGACAGACAGATAAGTTTCGATCAATTAAGATAATGATTCTGAACAAATCGGTTTAGTTAACGAAAGAAAAACTACAACTTGTAACTTATGGCAGATATTTGTCTGAAATTTGTAGCCAAAATCATATTGCATTTTAAAATAGTGCGCACCACGAAACTATAAGTTACAGGCCTTAAGATACATTAAACGAAAAGTTGGTAAATAATTTTACCCTACGGCCAGCTAGAAAGTCAATGTAAAAATGACTGCAATCATCCAACTGATGCGTTCGCATTTAGTCAACTATTTTTAAAATCCAATGATGATGAGATGATGAGTACAAGAGATTCGCTTGAAGGCGAACAGAAGATTCTTCGATAGTGGTAATGATAAAAAACAATTGAAAATGTCTAGCGAAGTTACTCAAAGATTAAATACAAGCAATGCTTCTTTATGGATATAAGGTAAGACATAGACGCATTCAAGATGGGTTAAGTTTAACGGATTCCAAAACTTCGTATACAAATCTAATCGGCTAGAAAGATAATGGTGTAATAAAAGATGACTCTATCCTTTGTTCCTCGAAGTGTTATATACATCCACACAAACTTAATATATCCGATATCATAAAAGCGATGTCGGTTGTATTAAGTCTTTATATGGTTGGATAAGATCGAATATTTAAATATCTATTGCGATACCGATCTTTATATAATACAGATCCAGTTTTAATTTGCTTGCCCTATAGGTATCTGTCATAAAGTAAACCTTTATAAATTAAGTGAAAAATAGTTTTATCAAATTTGAAGTACATCGACGCTGGGACGCTGGAGTCTATATCACAAAAAGATTGCAGTGAAAATTTTACTTTCAAATAGACGTAAAATATATGTAATATTTGACGTTTTATTAGCGATATTTAGTGAAATATTGTGTTGGACGAAGTGTATTACCTTTATCGGACTATAATGTTTTTTCAGATTTCTTTCAAACTAAGCGAAACAGGCGTTCGCAAACAAATCAATTGAACATATATATATTGGATTATATAAGCAAATGTGGTGTATGTCGTTGCTGGCAGTGAAAGTGTTAAACTTTTGAAATTATAATTAAGCGAATGGGACCGCACAAGAAGTTTTATCTATCCGAAAGTATATTTGATTTGGTTTTTTCCAATAAAAAAATCTTTCAGAAAAATCTCAACTTAATAGCAGCAAATAAGGAAATCGCAAATAATTAACACATTTTCATAAATATAGGCAAAACAAAGCAGTGCAAAGTCAATACGTATGTGTACAATAATTGAAATATGAGCAAAAACGAGCGAAAGTAGCCACAAGCAAGAAGTTAAAGCAATACAAACATACACACTCGCTTAGGCATGAATGCTTATATATATATATATATATATATATATGTAGGATAAGATATATATATGTAGAATAGGACTAATGTAGCATAGCATATATGGTAAGTGAACTCCTCCATAACAAACATTCGTAATTAATTAAAATAAATATTAATAATAAATGTTTACTTAGTTAAAGTGTTAATAAATATAATAAATAAAAGAAATAACATAAAAATGAATGAATTCATAATATCCTTAAGTGGCATATTCCATTTTACAAATATTGGATGAGGGGGGACGATCATACTTTATAGAGCGACAATGGATTGTAAATTCATTAATTGGGTAGAGGACTCTTTACGGGCATGAAATTCTCTCTAACCATTTTAATTATTGGAATAGCGGGATAATTGCACAGAGCGAAAATATTGAAAACAAGTGAAAACATTATAGCCGATTAAGTCCGGCCCAATTAGATACCCTACAAACCTACTTTGCCAATTACGTTTCTTCATTCGAAGCAAAAATTTTTATGAAAATCCTTATATAGGGTAGGATCCAAAAATACCGTTTTTATACCAAATTAATATTGTGACTGCTCATGTTACTGCTCATCATGAGATTTAGGCTTTTCTGCTCCAGAATGGATCAATTTTCGTTAAAATTCTCATATGTAGGTTAGGATCTAAAATATGGGACGAGATCCAAAATGTCCAAATATGCTACAGTTAATTTTTTTATGTTAAACTACTATTGTGATCTAATCTCCAATAGGTAGCAACGAGAATTAAGCCTTTTTGTCATATGGCGGGAGGGTGTTCAAAAAATTTCTCCAGACAATTGAAAATTTTCGCATCATTACAGAGCGTGCTTTGTCGAGAAAAAATTTGAGAATTGCAATTTGTTTTCGCTAGAACGATGTTTCAAAATAGGTCGTTCAAAATGCGAGTAGTTGAAAATGTCGAAAAGACCGATCCAAACCATATGCAAGAGCATTTTTTTATGCGTCAATGCACGTCAGTGTACCAAATTTTATCAAAGTAAATATCTCAGAAATTGCGAACTGTAGCTTGAACACAAACACAAACACAGACAGACAGACAGACAGACCGACGGGCAGACAGAGTTATCCTTTTCTGAATTGATCGATCTAATAAAAGCTGAATTCTACTTAAGTTCTTCTTCTAAGTGCTGCAGACAAATTTAGTTTACTCTGTACTGCAAGTGGTGTAGGATATAGCAAGGGTATAGCAATCTATTCCCCTCAGGGGAGTAGCCTGATTGTGTTTAAGCGGAGCCATTACAAGCAAGAAAGCGGTGACAAATACAAGAGAAGAGGATAAAGAGTATTTTGCGTTTTCCACGACCTCTCAGAAAGCTCAACATTTTTGAAAGCAGTACGCGTGTTTAAAATCAACAGAGGGTATTATTAAGAAAGGAGCAGAAGATATTCTTCTTCCTAGACAGAGTTATACCTAAGTCAGGACACTGTATTCATATTCATTCATTTTTCTACTGTAATTATATTTTTGCTTGCAAATGTATTCAAAAAAAAAAAAAGAAAAAAAAAGAAGATATTTTCATAAAACATAGATAGAATGGGAATAATTGTTAAATATTCAAATGTCATATTCTCTTCTCTTGACATGCATGCCTGCATGCCTTAATAGGCTTAAAAAATTGCATTCCAAGGAAAACCGAATAATATTTTCTTTACTTTTGCTTAATTATAATAATAAGTCGTGGAAATAAGCGAGCATTGCGCCAGTGAAAAGGATTAACGATTGAGAAAACTCATTCATAATTATTGAGAAATTAATTATATTTTGGAAAAATTTTAATAAAATAAACACTTGAAATTGAAAGGTAAATAATGGCGGCATCGTCGTCATCCTCTATTGAATTCGAGACTGTAAACGCTATGGAAAAGGAGACTGAACTTGAGAGGATTGTTGTCAATAAATTTGCGGAGATAAGCCAGAATTCTGCAAATGAAATTGGTGATCTTACACGTTTATTAGAGAAACTGTTGCGAACTCTTAGCGAAGCAAATCAAGAAATGATCAACGATCATCGGCTTTATGTTGACTTTGACATCAATATCGACGACGATAATGATGATGATGATTATGATAATGATGTTGTTGTTGGTCAACCAATGGCTGATATGAATGATAACGATACAGATATGCAAGTGAAAATGGAACGTACGTATATGTGCTATAGGCTTTTGGTAGTTAGTATACTAAACTATTTTTTTTTTTCCTTGTCATTATAGTTCCTCCTGTCTGCATGACTGATATTCAAGTTCTTATTATAACTGATGCTTTACAAAAATTTAATGAGAAATTGCGTCATTTATCGGCCAATTGTAGGGATATACATGATTGCTTTCCCGAAGCGGGTAAAGTAATTGATTGTAAATTTATTGTCGATTTGACGACGCAGGCTGAACGGTTTAATGCTTTACAAGTTGTAAAGAACATGATGCTAATAAATAAGGTAAATGCGAATCATTATTGCCGCCAAGTCGTGTACAACGTGCCTCGGTTGCTGATTGCAAAATTTAAAACACCCGCCGATCTAGTTGGCGAGAAGGTTTTTGGCTCGCAAAACAAATTGACCGAAATTTATCGCATCTGGCAGGCTATACAGCAGCGCGATTTAAAACCGGCTTTAGAATGGTCTAACCGGTATTCTAATGAATTGAAAGCCAGGAATTCTTCCTTGGAATTTGAATTACATCGTTTGGCTTTCTTGCAAATTATATCGCGTGGAATGCCCGTTCAAACAGAAGCCATATTATATGCGCGCAATAATTTTTATAAATTTGTTGATCATTTTGAAAATGAAATTCCTAAATTAATGGGTTGCTTTATATATTTGCCCTTGGGAATTGAAAATTCTCCATATAAACATTTAATATCGGCGGATATGTGGACTAAAGCGTCATGTGTATTTTTAAAAGATGCCTGCCATACATTGGGCATAAGAAAGAATTCCGATTTATCAATGATTATCAATTCGGGATGTACTGCTTTGACCGCCTTACTCGCTATAAAGCAGATGACCGGAAAATTATCGATCTATAAATAGATTCGGAGCCGTTACTGTTCCCGTAGATTATGCAATCAAGAAAAGTTATCAATTTTTGATATTGTCGCAACCAATTACCTATCGAGAAAGGCGAGAGCCGTCATCGCTGAACATACGCTTGCTTTATATGAAAGCGGTAGATTAATGAAGAAATTCCTCTAAAGAAATTAAACTGTGTATTTGTTTTGCATTAACGAATCGAATATTTAAAAGATATTTTGATTAATTAAAGCCAAGTGAAACTTGACGGCCTGTAATGTATTAAATTAACTAATTGAACACTTAACGAACTTAACCTAATCGAAATCGAGGCGCGTCATCGCCCTAAGTAAAAGTTTTCATCCGATCAAATGCATCAACATTGCCTGCCGTATCGGGCATTTCGAATCTATCGCGATCCAGTAGGGTTGTTAAAAGAATCTGTACCTGTAATACACGTGCGAATTGTACAAAAAGTACAAAAACACAATAGCATATGAGTGACAGTAAGTAAGTAGTGCTCGCACTCAAGTCAATAGGTGTAGCAAATCTATACGCAAAAGTTATATGCAAATGGATATACGTATGTTATGATTAATCACCAGTGATCCGTCATTAGTCAAATGTGGAATTTACTCGTTAAAAACGTGTGCGTTCGATTGTGAAAAAAAATTTTGTTCTTTCCGAAGCGGTAAATACTTAATGGTAAACGAAGTAAGAAAGCTGGACGTAAGCTGTTTCGAGTTGTGTCCGATGCAGACCGTAAGGCTAATGCTGAAAGGGCTTAATAAGTTCCCCCCAAAAAAAAAAAAAAAAAAACAAAAACAAAAAAAAGAAAGAGGTCTTTTGACAGTTTTTTTTTTTTTTTTAGAGTATTAGAGTCCCCTTCTTCTTCTAATTACTATGTACATTGCTGGATATAAGTGATTACATGCGTTTTATGGTATTATTTTGCGTACTTCTCGGCTTCTTGCTGCGTCCAGTTATGAATATTACGCGGTCACGATATTTGTTTTCTGCATATGCCTCTACGTGCTTCGATCCATCCTATATGATGGATAGGACATTCATATTTTCCTCTCCAAGTACCATGCGATCAAAATAGCAGTAGCTTTTGTTTTTTACTCCCTCCCCCCGTAAAAAAAATTTTTTTTTTTTAAACTTTACACTTTAAAAGTAAATGTGTAAAGAAGTAGAATTTACCGTGTGGGGCGAAGCTTATCGCTTGATGAGAATCTCTGCCCCTATGCATTCCCATTGTATAGAAGGAATCAAGCAAATTCATAGGTCTTTTATTTTTTTGTGTTTTTTTTCTCGATAGTGTCAATAATATTGATCGTTCATTTCATCTGAATCGAATCATACAATATACTTGACATTAAGTCTAATATTGCAAGTTTTTATTAAGTTCAAAATGTGTTTTAAATAACCTAACATTATATTGTGTGCGAGTGTTATAACACAATGTTAACTATTAACAATTGCAATAAAATGTAAAAATAAGCGAAGAAGGTGGGAGCGAGCGATGAGAGTTAAAGGAGAGTAAACGGTTGCATTCACATATCGTAAATGAAGTTTACGTTTTTATATTAGAGCTAGTTACACGTAAGTATTTCGTCTTTCTCTCCCTCTCTCTCTCTCTCTCAGTCTCAGTCTCTTTCTCTCTGCCTCTTTTGTTTTGATTTAACTCTCTTGCACTTTCTCTTCACTCTCGCAGCTAATGTTTGTTGATCGTTGAAAAGGAGAGAAGGAGATGGAAATAAAAAAATTATTTATAAGTAGGTTTACTTCGAAATTCAATGAAAACAGTATAAATAAAACTTGCCGTACGAACTAACTGGGGGAAAAAAGGCAAAGCGCAACCGACCAAAATAAAAAAAAAATAAAAAAAATAAAAAAAAAAAAAACAAGAAAAAATAAATAAATCTATAATTAATAAGAAGTAATATAAAGAGAGAGTTATTTTGTAAAATTAATAATTTTTACTAAATAATTTGCCATAAAAGGAAATTTAGAAAAATTAAAAGTCAGTGTTTTTTGTTTTTTTTTTTTCTTTTTTTCATAAACAACAACCTTCGTTTTTGTCATCACGTACAACGTACTGGCGGTTATATTTGTCAGTTCACCTGTTTCGATTGGAATTTAACTGTTTTGACGTATTGCTCAGAGATTTCTGAGTAAGCTTATCTATATACACACACACATATATATATATATATATATATATATATTTTTTTTTATTTTTTTTTATTTTTTTTTTTTATTAAACAGCTTTAAAGTGGTTCACAAAAGAACGTAAATTACGTGAATTTTAATTAAAAAAAGGAATTTAATTAACGCCACTCAAAAAAAATCTAAAAAAAAAAAAAAAACGTGTTTTGTTTGTTTAACAAAGAAAGTGATTTTTTTTTGTTTTTTTTCCGTTTTAATAATTGTCAACGGATATTTCGATTATCGAACACAATTACGTGATTTTTATTTGAAAATAATAAATAAGAAAATAAAACCCTCATACTGGCTACATGTGTAATTTACTGATTTTTTTTTTTTTTTTTTTTTTTTTTTTTTATAAAAAAAAAAATACAACATACCACATACCACATACCACATAACCAATAAGCAGCGTATAATATATATTTGCTTTTAGCAAAATTGCATTCACAGGCAAGAACATCTATCGAAGTAAACGCGCAGTCGCATAAACAATAAGCAAGAGAAAACTGGTTTTTCTAAGTTTTGTCAAAGACCCTTTCCCGTAAAGTGTGAATATTAATGAAATCCGAAACCTTAAGGCTTATTTTTGAAAAAAAAAAAAAAAATATTGCGTTAAATGCGTTGTGCGTGCCTGTGTTTATCTCCCTACACCTCCTTACAAATTATCGCCTTTTTGCATTCGCTTACATACGTATTTATGTTTTCCTTTTATCGGCATTTCATGTCAATGCCTTTAAGGTATTTTTAGGCTTGGTTCCTCAAGTCTCTCTTTAACGAGTTATATACGCATATATGATATTTTAAAAATAAATCAAAAGAATTTCAATTTTAACAGGGAATGTACATTTATTGAAATCTTTTCGATTAACTCCTACAGGATTTGAATTTTTCGTTTTGATCATTTATATGCATTTCTATCTATCTGATCTTGAGACGTGAAGAAAATCTTTTTTCATCAATTATTTCGAATAATTATTCATTTATCAGTGAATGGACTTTAGAAAGTCGAAAATCAATTCTTACTCATATTTACCGCAAATTTAAGCTTCATTCATTCAATAGATCATTTAAAAAGTTCACATGCACTGTATAAGCATATGCGAAACATAAATTATCCAATTAAAATGCATTTCATTTACCAATTTACTCTCTGTTCTTTAATCTGCGTACATTTTTTGATCAGAGATTTTTCGATCTATTTACTCCAACTCTGGAGTCATTCTAGGGCAGGTTCTTTGAAGCCTGTGTCTAACAATTGCTTGTGGTGCTTTTTCCTTCTCTTTTTTTTTTGCGGTTCAGCAATAGATAAGGTACCAGGCCTAGACTTGATGGATACTGGTTGGCAATAAAATCTATAGAGCGACTTCTTGAAGTTAGTCAACTTTGAGCGATAGCTTAAATTTTTAATTTTCGGTTTCTTCGTTGACGATTTTGACTGCTTTGTCGGTAATAAGACGAAGCCTTGCTTGCCATAGCTCGTTACACTATTTGCGTTACAAGGCTATATTAAATTTATGCAGATATATGCAACACCCAGATGGATTTGAGAATGATTTTTTTAGTCGATATAAGCTTGTCTGTCCGTCTTGATTTCTTGCGTTCAGCCTACCGGTCACAAGTTTGGAGATGGAATTCGATAATACTAACGTACCTTGTCCACACGGCGAACGCTATTGTCACTATATGAATAATTCTAGGATAGTATTTAGTAGAGCGCCATGATCCGCTAAAGGGCTTTTACTTGTTTTTATATAGACACATGAAAATGAATCGATTTTAACGTATAACTAGATCAATTTTATCGCCGATCTGATCATATAAAAATTAAAATGTTAACATTTTGCTTATTTAAACATTTGCCTGACCACACACACTGATATGTCTGATCAACTCTCACATTATTCTTTTTATACTTAAGCTCAACGCGTTTGGTGAGGTTACGATAGCTGGTTGCGAGATACAATGAGGATCACATATGATTGAAATGAAAAGGAAAATATTATTAGTATAAAAACACGACACAAGACATATGTTTCGACTAAATATTTATCAAAGTAGTTATGCGCACATTGTTGAGCCCATTTAATTAATTGCGTACTTTAGAACCTAAATTAATGCTTTGCATAAACTTTTCAGATCGTACGCTTAGCACAGATGAAACAATATACATTCACATCTTCCGAAATATGGACGGACTTATCACTATTCCAGTTAGCAAGAGAACAAGAAAGCTTTTTGTTTATTTATTAAAAGTCTTCAAGTCACTGTCGGGATTATAATAGACAGAGAGCTGTTTACGCTGGATCAAGGATGACTTCTTCAATGCATCGGCTTACGGATTGCAAATATTTAGCCCACAGAATACACTTACTTTCTGTGCTAGATATAAAGAAAACAAAAAAAAAACGTATCATTATAAAGTTTAGTTATTAGAGATCCCATAAGCTGGTACGTTCTTGATTAGCGTGAAAGGGTAATGATCACGTCTGTCGGCAATTTCAAAGGCTCTACTTGAACAGAAAAAATTTTATAAAATTCTTCCACTTTCTTCCACTTATTGACATCAACTTAAGCTTAACGAAAAATATTAGGATTTATAAGGATTTCACCTGACAGAACTTTTAGGTAACAATCTTTTCAATATGTTACTAAGTCAGTTCTTCGGGCTAGATATTAATGATGTTGCTATTTCGATTCATAATATATACGTGTTACATGTTACAGCGAGAACTTACCTTTAATGGTATATTGGATCAGCATCATACACGAGAATTAATATCGTATATAATATTTGGTAGTTACGATATATGATTCTTACTCTTCGGAAACGTTATCACTTTTTTAGAAAACATATGTTTTTAGATTGGTTTGTAATGATATTCTGCACCATTGTATGGGTTAGGGTATGTTCAGTTCATTTGCAAAAAATGGCAAAAATTATTGAGTGCGCGGGTTCAACATTCAGTTGGCCTAATAAGTTATACTTTGTTACCTGCGTTGCCCCACAGATACAGCACATAACTGAAGGTTATGGAAAAGCTAAGTTCTCCTCAAGATGTCATGAAATTTGCAAGTTTGCTTAAATAAAAATGTTCGCCAATTTACCGCCTTTCTAATTGTCGGAATCAAAATTTATATATATTAATCGAAAATTTTTGCGTAAACTATTATTTCAAAACCATTGCCATCAAAATGTTTTTGCTATGCTTTTGCTATTGCTTTTTTAATGTCGCTTATTCAATGCTAAATTCGAATGCAGGTCCATTATTTTCTCTTTTTACTAGTTGCATAGCATAGAAAGAGAACAAGATAGTAACCCTATTGTGAAATCTGGGCGGCTTATATACCGTACTTGTGGAATCTGGGCGGTTTATACAAAACATACATATGACAAGTGGAATGCATAAGGAATTAGTAAGAAGTTACAACGGAGGTAGCTTGTTTTCATTCTCGTTTGGTTCTTTTTCTTATGAAATGCTTTAACTTGCATATCGCTTTGTCCTTTTCTAAAAGAATTGTTTTTTTAGTTCTTTTTTTTTTTTTGTTGTTTTATTTTATTCAAAAAAATTCGAAAATAATTCGAATATAGTTTTTTAAAAACATTTTCAAAAAATTGATAAAATATTTAAAATAACATTTACCTTAATTCATATAAATTTCGGGGACTTCAAAATGTTTTCCAATTGATTTGTGTATCATGTTAAAAATTCAAACCGATTAAGCTTGAGTTCAGCGCGATGAAAATTTTGCAACTACGTAAGTACAAAATTTGTAATCGCTACGAACAGATTTGCGTTATTAAACGTCTTCATAATACAACCGAATCAATTTTGTTGTATCGATTTAGGTGTCTTCAGGCAAGACTTTACAACTTAATGCTCGCACATGCAAGTTGCAACCTACGCTTGTCTGCACATACTCTGCCCAACAAACATCATTGTCTATTCTATTCTGATGCCTTCAATATAGATAGGTATCGACTCGTTTGCATTGACGCCACCAAAGCAAAGACAATGCGAGAAGAAAGATCACTTTGTTTTATTCTATAAAGTTCTTCTATTCAAATAGCTTGACGAGCTCTCGATTTGTTGTGTCACTTATAATGCAGCGTTTATATGATAGCTTGGTACTGCATTTACTCTTTATGAAGGAGAACAAGTGACGCAATGTCTAATATCTCCTATACCTCCCGGGAGCTAAGAAAAAAGAAAAAGACAGAAAAGTTAAAAAAATATTTTAATTATATATCTTCGGGCGAATTGATCAATACTTTAATTTTTTTTTTTTTTTTTTTGATTAATAGCTTAAACTACGACAATATAGCGGAGATATTTAAGTACACAATTTCAGTAAAGGTAGATATTTATGATAGTTTAAAGTAGTAATCAGCGAACTTATGTCTAATGCTAATATCTATACCACTGCAGAGGGGAGTATCGATTAGAAGCCGCTGCTGTAAAGTTCAAAGTAAACGGTATAGGTTATGTCACAAATTTGCAAACACCGATTTGACAGGCACGAGTCATATCCCCTCGATCCGTTCAGCTATGCGGTACTGCACACAGTATTGTGTCCTATTGGTGCCAGCTGTACTGCTATTATTTGGTTTTTAGTTTATAGTAAATGAAAGAAATAAAACGAGAAACGTGAAGAATGGAAGAAATGTAAAATGGAGCAACAGGATTTTAATACTTTTTGTTGTTGTTAATGTCAAAAATTTGCCGGTCATCTCAATAATAACTCTAATGTAAATAAAAAGAAGTCCTCTTTTATAAACCCGTCTTGCATTGAACTTAGCCGTAGTATAACTCGTGTCTTCAGCTGGTGGGTGCAGTTCGTTACATCCTCTTGCTGATATTATTAGGTTTACGAAAAAATTTTCTACCTTGCAATTTGTCGTTTAATAAAGTCTACCGGTTGCGTTCAGTCAATTTGGATAGTAGTGCTTGTACGATATAAGTGT